GGCTATGCCAGTCCCAGCCTCTCCCTGCAGGGGGCGCTGTGGGGAGCATGGTGGGGCACTGGCTGTGTGGGGAGCTCCCAGCTACACCGTCCTTGGCCTCTCCCAGGGGGTGCTGTGGGGTGTGGGGGGGGTGCTGGGCTGGGGTCCCCCCCACTCGCTAACCCCCCCCCCCATGTGCTCAGGGCCCAGCTGGACGCTGACTTGCCGCTGTCGCAGGAGCAGCTGGAGCGCCTCGCCACGCAGCTCAGCCGGGACATCCTGGCGGCCGCCCACACCCTGCGCCGCCTCTTCCTGGTGGAGGATCTGGTGGACTCGATCAAGGTGGGTGCTGCCCCTCCCTCCCCCCGAAGGGTCACCCCAGCTCCCTGTCCCTGCTGGTGTAGGGGGCCTTGGGCCCCCTGTGAGCATCCTGGAGTGGGGGCGGGAGAAGTGTTGATCTCTGTTTACCCCCCCACCCCCATGGGGACAGGGGCACAGCAGGGGAGGGTTCTCGCCCCCCGTTATATGCTCCCCTTAGCTGTTAGGGAGTCATGGGGGGGTGGGGGTGGTACCTACCCCTGGGTCTGGCAGGAGGGAGCAGGAACTGGGGGGATAGTCAGCAATGTGGGGACTCCTTTCCATGGGGGTGGGGGGCAGTGATTAGCAGGGGGTTCTGGGGAGCGGGCGAAGGGCCCCCCATGCCTGCTGGAGGGGGATGCCCACTCTGCAGAGTTTTGGGGGTGCAGGGGGAGCCAGAGCCTGAGGCTGGGGACATGGCCCAGCAATGCCCAGGCCATGTGGCCAGTAGGGAGGCAGCCAGGTGATGGCCACGCCAGGTGGGTGGGGCTGGTGGGGAGGTGGCCAGGTGATGGCCAGGCCAGGTGGGTGGGGCCGGTGGGGAGGCGGCCAGGGGATGGCCAGGCCAGGTGGGTGGGGCCGGTGGGGAGGCGGCCAGGTGATGGCCAGGCCAGGTGGGTGGGGCCGGTGGGGAGGCGGCCAGGAGATGGCCACGCCAGGTGGGTAGGGCCGGTGGGGAGGCGGCCAGGTGATGGCCACGCCAGGTGGGTGGGGCCGGTGCAGGGTGGGCGCCAGGCCAGGGCACTGGGAAGACGCAGGCACCATCTGAGCCCCAGGGGGCCACACACTCACAGCTGGCCCTGAAGCACCAGAACTGGACCCCACGGCTTCGCCCGCAGGGATCAGGCCTCCAGCTGCTCTTCCCTCGCCCCTGCCTGAGCCGGAAGGTGCTGGGCCTGCTCCTGCTCCGGCTCTCAGGCTCAGCGCAGAGCCAGCTGAGGCCGGTCGTTCCCCACTCCTCCCCGGGCTCTGACCCTGCTCGTCCCTGATCCCAGCGCTGGCCTGTCTGCACACAGCCCTCCCCTGCCCCTGCTGTCGGGCAGCGACCCTCATGCGCCTGCAGCAACTGGGCCCTGGGACTCTGAGAGTTGGATTTCGGGTTGGCAACTTTCTAATCTCACAAAAATCGAACACCCGCCTTGAAGGATGCGCCGAGGACAGAGTGGGTCGCAGCAGGACGCTGGCCCCATGGCTGGTCTCGGTGGGTCTCAGGCGTCAGGTCAAGAGCCATGGCCACGTACCCACAAGGCTGGCAGGGAACTGCTCCCACTCCCTGGCCCTGCCAGCTTCCCCGGAGGCTGGAGGCTGGGAGCAGGGGCCCGCGTGAGTCTCTGCTGAGTAGAACCAGCCAGGCTCCCTCCCCACACATGGGGCTGCTGCCCCTTGGGGGGCTGGGGCCGGCTGCAGCCCCTGGGCGGGCGGGGGGAAGGGAGGCCCACCTCGCTCTCACCACACTCTCTCCTGCTTGCAGTTCGCCTTCCTGTTCTACATCCTCACCTACGTGGGAGCCGTGTTCAACGGGCTGACGCTGCTCATCCTGGGTAAGGGCGGGCGGGGGTGAAGGGGGGTCGGGGAGGGG